GATGGGTGACCAGTGGTCATGGTCACTGCAAGATGACCAGCGGTCATGCTGGCAATTAAGGTGGTTTACTTCAAGAACAGGGAATGGGTGGTGGCAGGCGAACAGCGTAGCATAACACTGAGATAAAGAGAAGTGTAGACGTAGTTATAGCCCCTAATAGGTTAATAACGACTAGCATAGATTTTACTACAAAAGACACGCGTCAGCGTTCCTCTGGCTGGAATACTAGTGGCCACCCGACGTACAAAGTGTTTTGTCTACGTGTGCAAGGTTTGTCCCTAGATTGCTTGGTTAGGGACAAGTAAACTCATTCAAGTTAGCCCGCGATCGGACGCGGCAAGCATACAAGGCAAGGTCTTCAGACGGCTTAAGTGATCAGAAGGACAAGGTGATCAAGTGGTCAGAAGAACAAGGGGGATCAAGTATCCACATTTGGGCAAGGCGACCTCAAGGAAGGTCAGGCAACTCTAGGAGAGTGCCACCAGTAACCGCTGGTAGTGTAAAGAATTACCACACAACCACACCCCACAAATATCAACTCGAATAAGACAAGACATCGACCTCAAGACACCTAGAAGATTGCAACCACCCGCCGACGGGTACACAAGGTGAGAAGGAACAAGACAAGACACACGGTCCGGAGTACCCCCTCCGTTAGTTGGTCGTCCGGGCGCAAGTGGGGAGTCAAGATCGCTACGTAAGTGATCGAATCTCAATACACCACAATAGTGCGCGTGCCCGGATCTTCTGGTGCCTCGTAATTTCTCCGTGAATCCCAGAGCGAAGATGTCAAGGTCAAGATTGAACCGGGGATGGAAGTGTCGGCGAAGAAGGGATCGTCACAAACACGTGATTATAGAGGACCCTCGGTTCGGTAGGGTTTTGTGAGGGGCTCGAACGAATCGAAATTCAAAGAGGAAGATCGCCAAAATGATCTCGAAGAATTAAAACCTCTTTTCCTCCTGAGCCAAAGCAGGACACGTCTCGTCTTAAAACAAAACCATTTACAAAGGAAAAGAAAACGATTGAAGGCAACGGTTTCCAAGCTACACGCGCCTGACTCCGAGGGTGATGATCAAGAAATAAGAAGGGCAGCAGAAGTCAAGATGGAAGGTTGGAAGATCGATCAGCTGCAACGTCGTTTGCACTGGAACCAGCTTCAAGCGTTGCTATCAACGAACCCAGTGCTGACTATCTTGGAACCTGAGCTGATCGGACCGCTTTGGCGACCGACATTGACTCCACAAGCAGCCACTAGAAAAATGGAAGTATTGCGACGTCTAAATTACTGTTACAAGGCGCAGGTTTTGTGCCGGGGGCAGATGACGCGCAGGTTCCGCTTGACTGCGACCTGGATCAAGTAACCACGGCCAGCCGATGACTGTTCAAAGCGCTGGTCCCACTGACCGGCCACTATGACTCCGCTGACCGCGAGCTCACGACCAGTATCATGGTTAAAGAGGAAGACTGTTCACCAGCAGCGTCGTCACATTACGCTTCGGCGGAGTCGATTGCGGACGATGGCGACGTCATGGAAATAAAGCGAACGTCGTTAGGACCTTCCGCTGCAGCACTTTACTTGACCACCACGAGCATCCTACTCCAACCACCGGACCGTTGAGACTAAACAAAGCCAGTCGACGATACGGATGACCCCGACCAGATGCAAATCTACGTTGCAAAGGCCATGTGAAAATTTCATGCGAGACCGACAGCGACGGCGGCCACATTCTGAGCCGACCAGTCGCCCTAACCCCAACCACAAGGTTTTCGGGGGTAAGTATGCCAGACACGGACATGGTGTCGGCTCACTAACATAGTAGTCATGGTTACACCTTTGACCCTGACGACCTCGACATTGACGGCGTCTGTCGACCTCACTTTGCTACTACGAAAGCCATCATGGAAGACGGATTTGATGCGCACCGGATTTGCATGTCTGCGATCGCCGATGTAAAGGAATTCTAAGGCCGCGATCACAGTTATGACCGCGCTCGAAGCTGGGTGCGAAAGGTCAAATCAGCTTTCTCGCGTAACCAATCCCCCAATTCGGAGAATTGTTTGGCTTTTGGAGATATGCTAACAAGCCCAGCACGAAACTGGTACTCCCAGCTAAGCCGATCGACACGAAATTATTGAAAAGACTTGCTAGAAAGTTTCTGCTACTATACTGTGGACGAGGCATCTCTGCTAGTCGCCAGTATTACCACGCATGCAAGCGTGCCGATGAAACTACGCTTAAACACTTCTATCAGGTGAACGTTGCTGGGATGCGAGCGAAAATCCACGTGAAGGACGTTACGTCACTGACCGCCGAGAACACGTGGAACACTATATCGAGACACTGGATGACCAAAATCTCGCAAAGCAATTGACCTTGCTGCGTTTGGACGACGCGGATACGCTGGAGTCAACGCTGCACACATGAACGTGTTCAAAAGCGCAAAGGCAATCTCCCTATCATTTCCGGCAAATTTTGCTCTCGATCATCGTCGCCGTACTCTCCGATTCCATCCAAGCCGGATCGAGCTGTGCGCGCAAATCACGTGGGGGGCGAGAGCAGTTCGTCGGAATCAGATGTAAGCAGTGCGGAATTAAACGAAGAACAGCGACGTGTTTACAGCGCCACAGCAGCCGAGCATACGAAGGAACAGGGAAATGATCGTCCGACTAAGCCAAGATCGAATGACCGTTAACGTGATCACACGCGTGCAACAGGGCACAAGTTGTGCACTCGTTGTGGTTCTAAAACACATATGGATAGATGATGCTGGAAACGCCTGACTTGTCAGAAATGCGGGCGCCAAGGTCACCCCTCCGACCAATGTTTTTACGGATGCGCAGCGTGTGGAGAAGTGCACGACGGGGGCAAATGCCCGATGGAGAAGTTTTACAATATGATTCGCAAGTGGTACGTGCCGACCAAACACGCCGGAAAGCTTCCTCCCGACGCTGAGAAGTTGTTAAACTAGGACGTTTGCCAGATTGGAACCTAATACGAGCCAAGCGTTCTAGGCTATGCTTATATGCATTCATTAAGAAAGGAGGGGTTGCTAACAGTGTTAATTGTCTGACCGGACGGACTTTCAGTACGTGTGATTTGTACTCTAGTTTTTTTCCATCGATTGCAAGTTTGCGGCGACCGGATGAATACGCACGATCACCTACAAAGATAAAAAAAAGTTGTCTCCTGGCGAATCACGTGGTTACTGGAAGTACCACAATCCAAACAAGTGGTTCAGGCAAGCCAAGGCGAAGCAAAAATCAATAATGAGAAGGCCACCCTATTGTATGACTCGGGAGCTGAAGTCTCAATCATCGACACCACCGTTGCTCGTAAGGTTGGCTGTGTCATAGATGAGAGTCAGAATCAAGAATGCGTAGTTATCAAAGAAAATTCACCAATATTAGAAGGCCGCACAAAGGTGAAGATCACGCTGAATGGCTCATTGGTTTACTACTTTGATGTATGGTTGGGTGACCAAGTGGGACAAGAAGCAATTCTAGGGATGGATTTCGTGGTACCGGCTGGAATACGCCTCGACCTGCCAGACGGAACAGTGTGCTTGCCGGACGAAGTCAGAATTCAACTGGAAGGTAGGAGATCACCGTATGGGGAGAAGACACAACGAATTGCTGCGGATGAGAAGTATTTGGCAATACCGGTGGGTGACTCAGTGGAGGTCTTTGTTGGTCGGGGACCACTGCAGTCGAAATTGTGGCTAACGCGCCACGCACGTTGGGCGCCCACGGCTATGACCGGACCCGGAAGACTTACTTGCATCCGCCCTTCCAACCTAACCGATCAAGATTGATTATCCAACAGGGGACGCCTTTCGGGCAATGGATGCCGGCGTACATAATACCACGGTCACCCGGGTATGTGTCGGTAGGATCACGTCTATATCAGAAGTGGCAAACACTTGCATACAAGGCTTCTACAGATAGAGGTAAAGAAAAAGAAGGACCGGAAGCAGAAGGACCGTTGGTCGAACGCCAGTCTTACCCAACACTAACACAGATTCTAAAACGACCCCCACAGGATATAGTAGAGATGACCAGCGGGGACAGAGGAAGCGGAATAGGAAAACAATGTGCCGACATGTGACCAGATGGATGACCAGCAGGATCAAGAAGGAACACAACAAGAACGATCACCCGTAGCTTTTAAAGCGATCACCACACGTGATACGGGTTGTGATTCGGTACATGATCGGCAGGAACAAACGAATGAACCCCGGAAAGAAATGTCTACGCGATCCCCAACGTCTGCCGACTTGTTTAATCCTATTGACGCGATGAATGTTACGAAGTTGGTGCACGAGCAGTATAAAACGCACCCACACGAGTGCGAAGATAACCTCACTCCCGAATCGATAAAGGATGTGGTACCTGATCGCATGCAAAAAAAGTCCCCTGATTTTCCAGTTGGATCTACTGTTGGGGATGGGAAGGTGTATCAACCGCCCGAACATCTGGGAGACTAGGTAGCAGCGATCACATGCGAAGGAGAACAGGAGTGCACGTCATACCAAAACGCAGGTGGAACACTATTCGCGGAAGAAGTTGGCCAACATATGGCAGTCTTACCGGAGGTAAGCACGACGCTATGCGAGGTAAAGATTGACGATATACAGGTGGGTGAACCAGGAGTTCCATTGACAAAAGAGCAAGGAGAATCACGCCAGCTGATCTGGAAGAAAATACATCTGCTGATGGGCAAGGGAAACGCCTTCCCATCTGCGGCTCGAGGCGTGATATGTGACAAAAATGTGGGAGGGCGACCCCAATCTCGTAACGAGTGAGGCCTGTCGCTCCAAAGTTCCATCAACAGTTGGCGGACCTAATCAAAGGGTTACTATCGGCGAAGATTGTATGTCCCTTAAACTCGCCGTGGGCATCGCCGATCGTAGTAATCGCAAAAAAATAATGGGGTAGATGTACGACTATGTATAGATTACCGACGAGTCAACCAATTGACGAGGCTGATGGCATACCCCATGCCCTTGATCAACGATCTACTGCAGGAGCTGGACAAAGCGCTATGGTACTGTTCATTGGATGTGGCCAGCGGATTCTGGGTTGTGGAAATGACGGAGAGAGCACGAATTAATTCTGCTTTTATGACGCCTTCAGGTCTGTATGAATGGCTACGAATGCCGTTCAGGTTGAAAAAAGCGCCGCAGATATACCAGCGTATGGTGGATAATGCATTGTATGGGTATCTCACGATCGGCGAACAGCGGAGATCAAGTGGTCGCGAGGTGTCACAACCGGTTGACGTGTTCACTCTCGGCGAGCCGGACCCGCACCGAAAGCCTTGAGTGTTGGGGAAAAGGCACTATATTGATGACATTCTGATCCCGGCGTCGTCCTGGACATCCCTCTATCAAAAGGTAAACGGACTATTAGAAGTCTGTGATCAGTGAAATTGGTCGATCCGTTTACCTAAGGGTGTGTAAGAATGACGCAAGGTTAAGTATCTCGGGCACCAGGTGTCGATATCAAAAATAGAAGCCGGCCCGAAGGATTTGAACTCGTTGGTCAATATTTCATTTCCCCAAACATTGCGGTCATTGCAGTCCTTTTTGGGAAGCTTAAATTACTACAGCCAATTCACTGAAGATTTCTTCAAATGCGCCTCAGTCCTGTATAAATTGAGGGAGGCGGACTTCCACGAGACAAGGCGGTTGGACAACTCGGAGGATGACAATTGTAACGGGGCACCCTGAAGCTTGTACTGGTGACAGTACAAGCTACTTATTCTGATAACAGAATAAGGCGGTGCCTCGTAACTTCACGTACGCTCGTACGTGCAGAGGAAGACGGTAAGAAGAAGCGAGTACTCGGTTAGAGTAAAAAGTAGAACTGTATTTATAATAGTTAATGTCTGCAATAAATCACTATTTATCTTCATCTAACTATGTCTAAATACAAATGTGTAAATCAGTTATCTGCTCACCACTCATTGCGTGCGTCTGTCGTGGCGCGTCTTCGTTGGTTGATATAATGGCCTATATCAACCAATTAGGAACTACTTGAAAGTGCTACAGAATATTGTCCTTATGACAATATTCTGAGAATATAACTCTTATAGTTATATTCTATTAACAATTTCTTATAAATTGTTATGTAACGATTCACCCCGTTACATCACCCCCCCCTTAACCATCAGTCACCTTAGTGACTGATTGACTAAATGGATACTCGTCCCAAATCATTTGGGACGGGGTTTGCACTTGTTGGTCCGCGTCCACTTTCCAACATCTCATCGCATGGTAAACAAGCCCATGCGATGCGCGAGCAAGGCCGCCGAGAGCGCGTCTGCACGTCTCTGTGCGGACGCCGAAGCAGAAACTACAGCAACTGATATCCCATCGGTTGCTGAATCGACTCAGCCTGTATCACCTGGTGATGCAGGCGCTGGTCATGAAGACACTCGTGTCTTCACAGAGTACGAGCTCGGTGTCTCGTACTCTCCTGATACGGATGACGGATCCGTATCGACGGCAATTGAATCCAAGCCGCCTGCCAAGCGTGGCATGGACGATGCTTTGCGTCGCAGCATCTTTGGTTCATCTGATGAGTCAGATGAACCATCGCCGAAGCGAAGGCGCTCGAGGTCGCGAGACTCGGGCGCTAATAGTGGTGTCGTTTCTCCAATGGACACCACTTCACAGCGAGGTGCCAGTACTTCTGTCGGCACGTCGCAGGAAGAGCGGGACCGCAATGTGTTGCGTCTCGCTCCAGAAAAGAAGGCATGGATGCCTCCTAAATCTGTCATGGATCACTTGTCGGCGACGACGAGTGATCGTTATCGAACACGATTGTTCGATTCGTCGAGGATTCATCACCTTGACCCCAGCGCGAAAGACTATCGCGCTGAACATGAGTTCTTCATCGATGCTTTCTTCAGACATCGATGGTACAGTGGGAATCACAAACGTGATGGTCCCTCACTACTTCAGGCGTGGAACGCCTACATCCATAATCTCGAGGATGTAGGTCGTGACGCTTGGAACGACAAACTTATCAAAGCTCGTGATAAGTTTGAAAAGCGAACCCCGACAGGTGCACGCTATAAGCTGCATCGTCTGTCAAGGGAGAAAGGATTACCCTGCCTCTCTTGGGGAGACTCGTGCCCATGTTGTGTGAACAACTCTGCACGAGCACCTAAGGAGGCTTACCTCCTTACCAGCCCGTGGTGGCGCGTACGTGTCTCTACTGAGATGTACGAAGGGATTGACAACCTGAAATCCCTTTACGACCGTGCCGGGAAGACTTTCTCCGGCGGTCCTTCTGCGGCACAGGATGTGTCGCGTCGTACTGCTCGACCAGACCCAGTACGTCAACCATCAATTGGGAGCGGGGCTCCCAAGAATCCCAGGACGGGGGATAGCCGCGCCACCGGACGAGGTAACTCGTCCGACGTCCGTTCACGTCGCGGTGGTTCAACAGCTGCTCTACTAGATAGCGCTGGCCACCGCGAGAGTCCTCTAATGGAGGTGGAGGAGGAGGAAAGACGCTCTCCACATGATCATGTGGATCGGTGTGTTCCCGAGAGCTTCTTTGATCGCGTAACGCAAGGGTTACGCGACGATCTCGAGCATGAGCGGAATAGGCGTCTCCAGATGGTGGACACTGCCTCGAAGCATCGAGCTGAGTTTGCCTTTGCTCAGCTTGAGAACGAGAGATCTCTGACATCTCTTCGTGACGAGCTAAGGGTAGCTCGTGGGTATATTGACCGGTCTCGGGCTGAGATAACTGCTCTTCAGACCCTTGTTGATGCCCACCATCGGGAGCACAAGGCTCTCTGCGAGATGCTTGAGCGCAAGGGCGTTCTTCATCGGAAGAAGCAGCGTACTGATGGTACGGCTTAAGCCGACCAACGTAAAACGTGGGATGCGTTCGCATCTTACGTGGTAACTCGATCGTGTATGCATTGCCTAGGCGGTGCAATACACGAAATGGGCCAATGTACTTGGGTAGTAGTTTACTGCTACCCAAGTTAGTCACTACATGTTTTGGTAGATTAACCGTAGACAGTAGGACTAAGTCACCTTTATTAAATAAAAGAGTGTTTGCCCTTCCATTCTTGTCAGCGTTTTGCTTTTGCTTATCCACCGCTTCGGCGATGGAGTCTTGCACAAAACGGACTACCGTTTCACGAGCCAGTATGAACTCATCTGATGACTCGTTAGCTTCAGTGTGCTGTGAGCGCACTGCAGCAACAACAACCTTTTCTTCAGTGAGGGCTTCCGCACTCTCACTGGCATCATTGTCTTCAGTGAGGGCTTCCGCACTCTCACTGGCATCATCTTCTTCGATATCGATGTTATCGATATCGGCATCAAACGCAATGACTTCTTCGTCAGAGCGTGATGAGCGTGAACCAAATCGGTTTTTGCTCGCGCGAGTCCCTCCCCCCTTAAACCAGAGTTACACTCTAGTAAGGTGGGTACACGCGGATGGCGCAAGCCATTCACGTAAAACGGTGTATGTGTCGTGGACGCATGCACCGAGTTGTTGATGGCAAACTCTACCATCGGCAAAAACTCACTCCAACTCTTAAAGGAGTGTACGTATCCTCGAAGTATCTCTTCAAGGACACGATTGGCACGTTCCGTCTGACCATCTGACTCTGGGTGATCAGATGTTGACATCTTCAAGCGCGTTCCGAGTGATTTGAACACGGAACGCCAGAAATCAGCAGTGAATCGTGGATCTCTGTCTGATACGAGTTCACGGGGCAACCCATGAAGTCGGAAGATGGTGTCAATAAAGACACAAGCACAGCCACTTGCCGTGATTGTCTCTGGTACAGCCACAAGGTGTACCATTTTGCTGAGTCTGTCAACAAATACGAGAATACCCGTATTCCCGCGTGCGTCTTTGGGTAACCCGAAGACGAAATCCATTGAGATGGATTCCCAGCACTCAGCCGGAACCGGTAGAGGCTGTAAAGGTGCACGCAGTGAAGGACTTGACTTCACTCGTTGGCAGACTTCGCATGCGCGAACATACTTTCGCACAAACTGATACTGGCGGGGCCAGTAAAAGTCTCGACTCACCGTGAGATATGTTTTCTCTCGGCCACGATGTCCTCCTATAGGAGCATCGTGATACTCGAACATGATCCGCAAACGCAGATCAATATCATCTGGAATGACAACACGTGGTGTGTCACCAGAAACGGCTGTATAGTACAGTAAACCGTTACGAGTAGTGTATCGATCTGATGCAGATCGATACGCAGACGACAATCGTTTCAACGATTCTCGAGATGGTTGGGAGAGATGTGACAACAACTTCACTATCTCACCATCTTGGGCGTATGCCCGCCTCACATCATCATACAACGTTGTAGATGGAACTGAGGACGTCATAACCGCAACAGTGACTGTCTCACTGTTGGGTTTCGCGACTGTTTCAAAGTCGGGACGACGTGAGAGTGCATCAGCGACGACATTAAGTCGTCCTGGTTTGTACTCGACCGTAAAGTTGTATTCTGCAAAGAATGACAACCACCGCGCCATTCGTTGTGAAAGGTGCGGGCTGTTCACTGCCGTGCGTAAGGACGCATGGTCAGTGTAAACAACGAAGGGTCTATCTCCTAATAGATAGACTCTGAACTTCGCGAGTGCATACTTCATGGCAAGGAGTTCCTTGTCATGCACTGGATAGTTCCGCTCAGCTGGTTGCAGCTGACGCGACTGATAGCAGACGACGCGTTCAACGCCTTCAAGGTCGTACTGCATTAATGCACAGCCGATTGCGAAATCGCTGGCATCACAGACCACATGAAATGGCCTGTCCTGATCGGCTATTGCTAGGACTGGGGATTGTATCAAGCTCTGCTTGATACCCTCAAAGGAGCGTTGACATTCAGCGTTCCATAACCACCTCTCGTTCTTTTTCAACAAACGAGAGAGGTGTACAGTCATCTCGGCGTAATTGCGTGAATACTTATGCAAATACGCCGCTAGCCCAAGGAATTTTCGAAGACCTTTGACATCGACCGGCACGGGCCAGTCGGTGATCGCCTTGATCTTTTCGGGATCAGGACGTACACCGTTCTTACCAACGATGCACCCAAGAAGTGGTAATTCGCTTGCTGCAAATATACACTTCTTGAGGTTTGCATACAATTGATGCTTTCGCATGATTGTAAGAACTTGTCGGACGTGGTACTTGTGAACCTCAACGTCCGACTTTCCATCCATAGCTCGACTATGGATGAATACGTCATCGAAATAACTCGGCGCGAATTCTCGTACTGGCCTCAACAGATGTGATACACACCTGTTGAACGTGGCAGGGGCAT